CTCACCTCCGATGAGTGCGTCCCCTCTCGGCCGCTGTCGGCCTCGGCGTCCCCAGACCATGCCAACTAACCACCTCGCCCCGCGCCCGCAGACTCGTCGAGATCCGCGCAGCGCAGCGCACCTTCGAGGGGGCCTACATGCGCACGGCCCTGGGCCAGTTCTCCTTCGCCCTCATCATCCTCAAGATCTTCACGTCTGAGTTCTACGCCATCGGCGCCCTCTTCGCCGTCTACGGCGCCGCCGTCATGCTCGTCGCCATCTACCGCCGCTACGAGGGCAACCGCCAGTTCTTCCTTGCCGCCCCGGACGTCGACGCCGCCGGCGACCGCGACCCGGCCGACGCTGACGAGGCGCCCGCTAAAAGATTTCGCACCTCGGGCAACAGCGTCGCCCTGCTCGCCGGCCTGAGCCTCGCCGCCTACTCGACCCTGCTTGTTCTGACCTGGCAGCTTGTCAGCTAAGGTACTCGGTCGGCGGTCACTGGGGATACATTCTGTGTGTGTCTGTTTGTTTGAAGTGGAGAAACTCACGATGTCTGCATGGTTTTCGGTGATGAATGGATGCCGTCTTCCAGGGCTTTTGTTGCACCGCGAGGCGCTCAGTACAGGAAATTTGAGCCAAGAACGTAATCTAGAAACTCCTCGTGTAGAGCCGTCTATTTGTTTGCCGCCTTCATGTGGCCCATCCTCCACCAAATCCTTTATGTTTGCGTAGGCGAAATGAAACAAGTGTCCTACTATTCCCCATCAACCGTTCGCGCGCCAAAGAAATGATCATATGATAATAAACACACTTTTTAGCCAAGTAAAGAATACATGCCATAAAATCGCAGGACGGGTATCTCAGGAGAGACGCATCAAGCAAAATACTCCCAAAGTCCCACCTCCCCGCCTCCCAAGGCGCACGTATCGAAGTGCCTACGAGAGAAAAAGACCATCGAATCATCGCCCCCAAGCAGCTTGCCCCTGGTAGCTCCCATTCTGACGTTTCTATCAAGTTGTGGAGCGCCCAACCCATGCTCTTCATCGTTCTTCTTTCTTTCTTTCTTCCTTGCTTGCATGGCCAGGGCTTGAAAATTCTCGTCGTGCCCATTTGCGAATGCTGTCCGTTTGTCATGGCTGTGCCCAGGTGCCGTCCGTGTTGAACGCCGCCAATTGCTGTTTCCTCCCTGTTCACCGGGTCATGTCCGAGTCTGGAAACCCCCGAACTAGTGGGAAAACAGACCCCCCTCTCCGAGGGCTCTCCCTTGCATCCTCAACCTTAAACCGACGGCACCTCCCTCACCCACGTTTCCCAGTGCCTTGAGATGTCTTGCAGACCATCTACCCACCAAAAGCATATAACATTCCTCGTCAGTACTCTTTCTCCCAAACCAGAACTTATCCAGAAGAACCTCTACGCCGCGAGGTGTCTGTATGCTGTCAACGTCATCGTTGCCGCACCAGAGTTGGGACCCCTGACTCGCTTAGTGCTCGCCTTTGCGCACACTCGTTCCATCACGACGCTGCGGTTGCCCGATACGTCTTCGTGCATGAACGATCCACGTCTGATCTTGTCGTTTTTCGCGTGTACTTTAAAATCGCTGCCTTTACACCAGCGCGTCCAAGGGTTGAACGAGGGGTATATATATATTTTCTGCCTTTCCTCATGACATCACACTTGGGTCGACAGGTGTGGTGGCAGTGGTGCTCAAGTCGCAGTTTTCCTACCGACCCGAGTAATACATGCCGACGGGTTGCGCAGGGTGGTCATTGGATGTTGGTATCTGTTCACTTGGATGAACAGATGGGTGCGAGCCTTGGTCGCCGTACGCCCAATTCCCGTAACCTTCTCCAGACGGTCTCGAAAATTGATATTGCTGTTGCCACGATCCGTAATTGTTTGATGGCAGAACACCACCAGGAACCGAGCCTCCTTGCGTCATAGTGGAAGCCGGGCCACTTCCGGAAACAGTAACGTTGGTCTGCACAGACTGAGGGTACATGTCAGCAGGCACACTGTGTCCCGTTCGCTCAAACGGCCGTCCGTGTTGCTGTATCGACTGGTACGGCGGGGAAACGTGACTTTCGCTGCTATAAGACACAGCTCGAGGTGGAGCGGGAGCGTAGGCCGTCCAGGGTATGTCTTCCCGAACGCCGTGTTCGGAGTTTGACGCTGACGCCCAGCCTGCTGGTGGGTTTGGTGCATTCGGTGTGTATGGCGAGAAGGACGGTGTAATGGGAGAATCGGTGCCTGCGTAGGCTCTCCAGGACGCGTTCGAGTCAAGCGGTCTTGTGGCGGGATTAGGACTGCCCTCGGCAGCCATCCAATTCTGCATTTGCGGTCCACCCATATCAAAGTGTCTAGAGCTAGCACTCGATGTCACTTGTGTCTTCAGGTCAGCGATCGTTACCGGCTCACGAGGACGCGGCGTTGCTTACATTTCGACTCCGAAGAATAACCTTCAGCATCATTAGTCTTCATACCCAACTGTGGTGCAACATTCTGTGCTCCAGGCACATCTAACGGCGAGTATTGCAAACCCGTAGATAATCCTTCAGGGGGGTGTCGTGGAGCCAATGCGGGCGAGGGAGACGCAGAATCCATCTTGGAGCTGGTGGACGCTCGTGACGGCGCTTTGGGCCTAGTATCGGCGGTCGGCTGCTGGTCGACGGGAAAGAAGCTGCATTCCTTTTTCAGTCGAATACAGTTGACGCAGCGGCCTTGGACATCAGATGTGGATGGGATACAACGGATCTTCCGTCGTCGACAGTGACCTAGCCAACGTGAGTTCTCTGGCCATCTTGGGAACTCGCAAAGACGTCATGGGAATGAACTCACCACAAGCCACCGACGTTCGATGGTAACCCAGTTTGTTCCTCCGCTTGTCCGCGGCAAGAGCGAGCTGAGACGCGTCGGTCGTACTGCTCTGCAGCGGCCTAACGTCAGGCGTAGATGTAGAATGCTTTAGTCTTTGACTGGCAAGTGGAAACGAGTCTTTGCGCACCCCTCCGTCAGTTGTCCGAATTTCCATGGAAGCACTGTTGCTGCTCGGCGGTCCTTCTCGGTAGTCTGAGCCATATCCTACGGCTGGCATGTTGGCCTGCGCAGCATGTGAAGACACTTGCGGAGGCGGGTATTGGTATGCCATGATGGCTTGCCTTGCGTGATCTTTGCTCGATAGCGGTGGGGTAGGGTAATGTGCAGTGTGTTTCTTCTTGTTGAGGGCCAGCGTGGAATCTTTGGCTTTGGAAAGCCCGAGTCGGGACACGAGAAAACCTAGAGAGATGTCACAGGGAGGGAAAGCCTGCAGGTGGTGTGTTTTGTGTTGGCAAGGGTGGGTTCAGTCGAGATTGATGAGCCGACTGTCAAATAATTGGTACTGCGCTTGTCAAAGCCAGCACGCAGCCAAGTGACCACACAACAGGCGGCAAGACGGAAAACGCCGAGACAAACTGGTTGACGGACTATCTCCAAGAGTAGAGGCTGGGTCCTCGATGGAAAGATAAAGGAACACGCTATGGTCTTCCTCGGTCGGATGCTTGGGACAATATGTATGCCCAAAGGCGGGACGAGCTACTAGGAGGGCAAGGCGCGAGTAGAAGGATGGACCAATCGAAATGAGCCAAAGCACTGGAGTTCTGCAGGTGCAGCGCCTGGGATGAGAGGCGTACCAGAGTTGGGAGGTCTTCTGTGGCGGGGGTCTGGAGCCAATCTGCGCCTGGTCGATTCGACACTTCTTCCTTGCTTGTAGCCCTTTATGCGTGCTGAGATGGGAGGTTGACTCGGCTCTCGGGAAGAAGAAGCAGAGAATGGAAGTTGCTGCTGGCCCGATGGCCTTAAAGGCTTTACACAACAACTAAGCGTGTCCTTGCTGGTCAACTATGTGGCGTTTGATGACGGGTATGGCTCGTTTGTTCGTTTGAGCGGGGAGCAAAGACGGATTTTGTGAGCTTGCGACGCTTGCTGGTATTCTATCTTACGATCAGTCTTGTTCCTTCTGGCTACTTCAAGGCCCCAGAGCAGCACTCTATTGTCAAATACTGCCCGAGACTTGTCGTGCGGCTATCAAGGGATGAAGTAATCGGGGAAAAAGGACCAAGGTTTAGTCAAAAGTGGAAGATACACGCTGAAGGTGTGGGAATTCCCCTGAAAATGAAAAATAAATGGGTGGGTGATCTGGGGGTGATCTGGGGTACCGCCGCTTGACGGCCCGTGTTTACTCGACCAAGGTCGAGGTCAAGGCAGAGTCGTGCCACAATGTGCAGGTACAGAAGCCAGCCGCCGATGGTGTTCGGTCCTGCAGCAGTTGTTGGCTTACCTAGGGTGTCTGATAACTTCGAGGGCTCGTTGCAGCTACTGGCATGTCTTTTGGAAGACAAAGGCAGACGATGATAGCTCTATCTTCAGGCTTTGATATGCTGTGTTGCGACCTAAGATTTGTCTTCGTTCCGTAGATTCGTGCGCTATGTGGAACGCAACGCGCGAGTGTACCTTGTTCCGGAATAACGAGATATACAAGCGATATGGCTGTGGTTGTGTCTTTGAAAGCAATGCCGATCCTCCTTGTTTCTCACTTCCTAGACCAAAAAAAGGTTCGGAGAGGGAGCTTTACCCAAGGACACCTAATCTGTAAGTGTCTTCTTCCATCAGTGCCCAGCACAAGGTACGTCGCTTCGCCAGGATCGAACTCTGTGCCCCTTTCTTTGAACTGACTGAGCCGAAGCGGGATCCCTCGGTCTGGTGCGGAAGACAATCCTGAGGGCGATTGGCGATGAGGCGGCGTCGGCGTAGGGCCTTCTCACGGTTGCGTCACGCTTTGACCCAGGAAGTGTCCAGCTGGGTGCTTTGCTGGTAGGTTGGCAGGCGAAATGACAACAGGTTATCCCACACGGGCGGCCGGGGCTTCGTAGCGTGAACCGCTCGTCAGATCGGATGGTTGATTGACTCTCCAAGTCTTACTGGCCATAAGCACTCTCCCGTTAATGCGACGATTTGAACCTGCTGGTCGTCGGCTCACAATGGCTCTTTCGACGTCGCCTCTGTCGTCCGGTGGTAGGCCTCTCAAGGGCAGGGCCTCGTGCGTTTCCCAGGTATGAGTACTGGGCCAGGATCCCGCACTAGCTCTGAGGCAATCTGGGGCCGTGGTGGAGGCAAACCTGGTATGACAAGAAGAGAGCACCGCACTTGAATTCCAGCAAGAGTTTGAGAGTATCTGCGAAGCGGAATATCTCACGCCGGAAATCAGTCGGTCGAGCCGTAAGGAGACTGGTGAGCGTCAAGGGAACAAGGGTTCCGAGGTTGTCGGAGAGCTTGCAACGGATGGTGCCGGTCGTGGTAACCAGGTTGGAAGGTAACCGCCCCCTCCACAAAGGGATCGGTCCTATACTTCAGGGATCCTCAGAGGGGAAGACATGTGGAAGGGTTATGAGCTGGCACAGCCAGTTGTCCGATGAAGGGGGGTGGCTAACAGGGGGGGCAGGAATAAGAAGCAAGATAAAAATGGACCTTGAAGAACTTTGCGGTAACTATGCAATGAGAGGCATGGACGACAGGGAAAAGAAAGGGTGGTCTCTCTTATTTGGGCTTTGGTCAGAGGCTGAAACTCCATGGGCGAAGGCGCTTCCTCGGATCGCTATATGGAACTGCTTCGATGGCTTCTGTTTGACATGCCTCGAAATGCCTTGTCGTTGGATTGTGCCCCAAAGTATCTACTCGTCGAAGGGTGAACTGGGCCTGACGGCAAGCCAGATAGATCTTTGGCGCTGCAGACGACTGCCACAGACTACAGCTGAGCAGAAAAACCTCCCACACACCCCTTCAGCTACGGCCGGACCATGACGGTACCGCCAATGGTCGCGCTTGGGCGGGGAGGGGGGGGGGGAGGAGGTGTTGTATCGTCTCATACGCAAGACATTGGACCATGGTTAGCATGCTCTGCTCAGATCCCCCTGATTCCATTCCTCTCCCCATGGCTCATTCTCGATTGATCAGAAACAGACATGCCATGTTGATTTCGCATCCGAACCCTATCCCATCGAACTTGGTGACAGGGATCCCAGAAGGGGGTGGGCCAGCCATCCGGGAAAGATCGAGAAGACTGGCTAGTAGATGACGACTTGCTAAACTACAGTCAGTGCATCCCTGACGGAGTGATGCAGCTCAAGAAAGTCTATAGAGAGGGGGACCTGGGCCCGGAGCATGCGCTGTGTGTGGAGGCAAGCTGCAGGGGCGCGCTCTGAGGCCTGAGAATCTGCGATGCGTCAAGGCGGCAAGCATCGGCTGTTCTCGCTTGCGTGCACGGAGATGATCGTGCTCAGATCTCAATAGTATCGTCGTTGATAAAAGACGAGGTCCATTTGTTGTTGGTTGAGCTAGTATGTAACTGTGCCCAAAGACACGACGTGGTGGTGGTGAATTGGCTAGGGGCACGTACCATGGATTCGCGCCAACGCAAATCTGCCCCTCGTCCCATGCCGAAACCTGTCAGGTCAGGAAGTAACCGAGTCCGGACTCTGCCGGTGTCGTCTCTTGGCAGCCCTCCCATGACCGGGATCAAGAGCCATATTCTGTGACTGTCACTGCCTTATTTGGGGACTGGAGAGTTTCTTGGTTCAGTTGTGCTTAAACCGGAACATCATACAAGTTAAAGCGAGAGGGGATCTCGATGTGGGAGCCATACATCTGGAAAGTGGTCCCTGACTCTGAGGACGCAGGAAAAAAGGGCTCGTAATAGCGTGGTGGAGGGGAGGTCCATATGATCAGATTTGGCTGCCGCAGCAATCGAAATCCAGCCAATTTCCACAGCCGTAGTTCATATTCATAACCCTCCGGGCCGGCAGTAGCGAATCAGCAAGTCTCAGAGGTTTTCAGCGGTTTGCTTGCACCATCCTACAGGGCTTGCCAGCCGAGCTTCGGGGTGACTAACGGGGCAGAAACAGGAAGACTACCTGTACAAGCCGTTGTTGTGCCGAGAAGTTTTGTGGCGACCCGAAGAGCAATCAGCAATTCACAGTCGGCTAGTACTTGATGGGTTCATGCCTTATGCTCAAGCAAGTGGCAAGGAAGAAAGGTCAGCTCGTAGTGTCAGCTTGTCGTTTCAGTCAGTACAACTTTGAGACCACTAACGTCATTTTCTCCGCGGCTGTTGTCGTAGTCAAGATGCCTCGTCCAAGATGATGGAGCATTGTATGATCTACACGACCGGAGCGGGAAGGTGATGCTCCTCGCGCCAGAGTCTGGAAGGGTACACGAAGAGGTTGCAGGACCAGACGGAAGTCGAGATAGGACGAACTCTGATCTGGCCACGCGCTGGAGATGGTATGTGGGCACCCTTGATGCCGCGCCAGTTGTCGATCAGGGCTGATGTGCAGCTAGGATCCGTTGACTTACGGGAGGACCTGCCTCTTGATGAGGGCCCCCACATCCACCTATGCCTGGGGCAATAATCAGCGAGCGCCAGCGGCGAAGCCCTCCTGAAAATCAAACACTTCTTGATTCAGCCTAATGGACAATATCGGACGGCGTTGCAGCTAGCCAGGTCTGGCACCACTAGCTCGGCTCCTTAGGACTTGAGGGCTTGTCATGTCAACTCCAGAGCGCTAAATGAATAAGTAATTCAAAACATGCATAGGGCAAATGGCGCTTCCAAGTGCCGCCGATCCAGGTCGGTTGCTTAGCTCGTTCGCGTGGTTTAATGCCGTGGCTCGGCTGGAGAAATGGGCCCTCGCCCCTCGTGATGGCATACTCCTCAACGTTGAGACGCCGATACCTCGCGGCGGCGAGCAGCTGGTAGCCGTCGGATGCTACAAAGCTTAGGCATAATGGAGTATGTCACAGTGCGTCCTTTCGACGAGCGCGAGAACCGTAGACACAGGAATGGATCCGTCTCGCGTCTGGTCTAGGGTAGGAAAGTCAGCTGCAATGCGTTGTGAGAAGCACGGAAAATCGGGGTCCGGCACGTCAAGGACTGTTCGTATGGCCATGGGTACGTGCCCTGGCATGCGACATGCGACATGCAACCTGAACGGAGAGAGACCTCGCCTCGACCCAGCTCACATCTCAGCAGCTTGCGTGCTCGTGCCGCTCCGTGGTGCTGACAACCTGGTCTTCGGCCCGGGGGGTAGACAGTCGCGAGGCTGTTCTGACTGGGAGGCTGGGGAGCATCATCAGAAAACAGAGTTTGGCCATGAGACTCATCTATCTCGAGACATCAATCTAGACCCGACTGGAGGCTGGGCGAATGGGGCCCAAGCTGAATCTTCATGATAGGCATCATTTGGGACCAGAAAATGCAGGGCTCCACAAGGAACGACAGATAGTCGGTTCGGAGGGCCAGGACACCCAACTTCCGATTGATTACAGGGGAAGTTGCGCATCGCCATCAAGCGGTGAGAGGTGGGGCTATCCCGTGCATCCAGAGTGATGAATCCGACGTTCCGCCGCCGTTCAGTGTCGGCGCCTTGTTCAGGACTGCATGTCTGGCTTCTAGAAAGGAGTCAGGGTCTGAAGAAGCAGTGAGGATCGTCGTCAATGGTGTCGGAGGGCCTGCTAGTGCTCGGGATTGGCGTCCGTCAGCCCCGGCCAGGTGCATCAGACACTGTTGGTCCCCTGTGCGTGACCTGGCAGAACTTGAGCGACCTGGGGGTTGGGTGACGAGGAGGCGAGGATGCGAGGCGGCGAGCGGGAGAGGAACGCCTGCGATTCTGGACCAGTGAAATCGAAGCAGGTTTGGGGAAGAGGGTCGGTCCATCTTTTGTGTCTGGGATCCGAGGAACTGGCTCTGGGAAAAGGAAAAGTGAGATTAGAAAACATCCGAAGAATGGGCAACGTAAAGGTTGAAGGCTGTCACGACAGGCATGGCAGGGTGCGAGGGCCAAAGGTGCCCGCGTAGCCTACCTCACCTAGGTACCTACCTACCTTGCCTTCCCATGGTACCTACCTAGACGGGGGGGGGGAGGGTGAGGGGAAGGACGCAAGGCAGCTCGAGTGTGGGCGAGAAGGGCAGCTACATTGGTGTTAGGCTCCGCATGCAGCTCCTTCCTCTTTGCACCGCCCGCCTCCTTCATTGACTCTGTCAATCTGTCAATACTCACTTAGGTACCTACAGTACACCTACCTACAGTACACCTACCTAGTTGCCTATGTGAAAGATGCGATCAGAAGCAGCAGGTGACTTCATGAAGCCGAGATTGCGAGACCTGCCATCGAGGAGAGCAAGAGCGACACGGCACACTCGGCGGAATGCCTCTGGCACCTGCAAATGCAGCAAGAAAGTCACCCACTGACGCCACGCAACCGATCTACGGACCCGAAGCAACTACGACAGAGCACCGTCACACCAAAAGGAAGGCGTATGTCTTGATGCTGCATCACAAGACAACACCTCTGGCAGCAGCAGCAGATCTCAACCTGCCTCACTTGCCTACGGTAGGCAGGCATCTAGGTACCTTGTGCAGTTGACATGTCACCTCTGAATCCTTGATGTGAGAACCCTTTGACTTGGTCGTTTTGCCAGTTTCCAGCACCTTCTTCCATCTTCATCTCCAAGGAACCTCCGACCGGGTTAGGAAAAGAAAAAGGGAGAAACTTAATATCCTTACAACCCTTGGTGACCGCTTCGAGCGTCATATCAATTACGCAGAGCACGGGCAATGGTTTCTTCTCCATTTCACCGACTTGCTCTGTTGCGCCAGACTCCTCGCACAGGGAACGCGCCATCGCGCCATGTATTGCCTGTCTCACTGTCATATCCCGTCCTAACTCACCGACTCTGGCCCAATGATTACTTTACCAGGTGTGAGGCGGTATCTTGTCTCCAGTCGTCCGCCGTCTCACCTCCAAGACAACCACGTGCCTCGCATCGCCTTTTCATAGTCCAAACCCGCCCTCTCGATGCTGCCTGAACACCCATCTTGCTTCTCCTTTCGTCAAGACAACCACGACGCTCGCTCTTCTCGGATTTGGGCCAAGCAGCAACCAGTCTTCGCCTTGACGAACCCCCACAACTTTCCTCCAACATTCCTCAACATCGTCGCGAGGAGAAATCAACTACCGCGCTTAGCACCTTTTTGGCTAGACAAGCTGAAAGTGGAACAGTCGTCTCTTCATTGCTTCTGCTCGTCGGTGAAAACTAGCCAGCAAGGGACCCTGTGTGGTCTCGACGCAATTAGTATTATACCGCGGCCAAGATTTGCTGCCAGTCATGCCGTCAGTCCTCGAATTACCAGCAGCAGCTCCTCGACATAGCACTTCAGCTCGGAGCAATAGGTCCTGAAGTCGACGCCACAATGCTCAACAGTCAACGTCTGGCTGATTGACCCCGGAATGGCTGATCTGAATATCAGGGTGCAAGACAGCAACCTACCCAACAGAAGACGATAACATCTTCATTGGCTCTAGCGCAGCTGGTAAGCTCGGGGACTTGTTGAACCACTGACATCAATAGATATTGACGGCCGTCAGCCTCGGCATGGTGGACCGCTTGGCTGCTCCCAAGGCAGTTATGGCGAAGGATGCCCTCATTTGACCGCCGTGTCCAAACCAGTGCCTCCTCTATTGAGCGGCCAGCCACTGAGCTCCTTGGGTCTGCCAATATCTCCCCCACGCTAGTCCCTGGCTGTGTGCTCATTCTCCCCCCTCTGCTGGCATTCCGAGCTTCTCCCAATCGAAGCGTGGGTAAGTTGCCTCACTCTCCGAGCATCCAGACGGACCAGATAGGCTCCTGCACTAAACCCAGGCTGGATATTGGAGATTTGCATCAGGCGAAATAGCGTGGGGGAAACACGAATGTGTTACGTCCCTTTAGTGCGCTAGACGCTGTCCAGTGCAAGGACCTGTGCCCACGTCGGAGGGGTAGAGTAGTCTGGTCTGCACTGGTTGTTCTTGATGCCAGTGGTGCATGTCAGCGCGAACCTGGCCCCTGTCATGGGCAGATGATCGAGTGCCGAGGTGAGAATGTGCTGTACAGTAGAGCAGCGACCCGGCAGGTGCATCACTATGTTAAGAAGCAAACTGAAAACGGAAGGATCTCTTTTGATAGGACTTAAAACCTATTCTCCACGAGCGTCAACGTTAAGCTACAATATGCGTCTCACTTCGCACGGGGTTTTGTAGGTAGTCTGCAAAGCTCAAAGCCATCTTGGCTCCATGATGGGCACCGTGGAGAACCTGTGCTTTGCAAGTCAACTCGTTCCACCTAGACACTTCTACACCTGCCGGAGCCATCTCCAGCAGGTACTCTGTATCTCCAGGGGCGGCATGATCGGCCTTGTATGTGTGCAGGCCTTGTATGTGTGCATCCGGCACGTTGCTGTGAGCGCCATAGGCTAAGGCATACGTGCGGCAGTCCGTCTGTCGTCTCTGCGGGCGTCAGGCCAAACAGTTGTTTGCGATGAAGAAACACGGGTCAGCTTTCAGCAAACCTCAACCATGTCTTGTCGACCCTACGCCGAAGGGCGGTAGTCCCCTTTGGCAGCCGCGTCCATTGGGAGTTTCACCACAATCTACACGGAACCATCGGGCTTTGCGAACTACTTTACACGCTTTGGCTGTAGGTTTGGATATCAATGGCTTGTGCTTCAGTTTATATTCTGACCTCAAACTGTTCCGTGGTACGTGGCCATGACCGGTCTCACGGTCAATGTTCAGGTCGAGGGATTGTCGAGCATCACACCACGCCTCCACCTGCCGGTCAATGATGCTTCAAGCCAGCATATCGATGAGTTATTGATAGACTGGTTTGTGGACTTTATTTAATTTTGATTGTGTTTTAATGTTTTTGGTTGTTGGCTTTCCTGTGGCGCTACGTTTTGTCGACAATGGCTTGCGCAACTCAATACAGAACATAGTCTTTAAAGGCCCTGCGGTCACATGCCATGCCCGCTTCGTCGCTATTCTGAAGATCTAGAGCGTCAGGGAGGGAAATATCCATGCCTCATTACGCAACCGGTCACCCTGCCTGGCCCTAGGTTGCGTGTTGTGCGGTGCGAGTGGTTGAAGGTGGTTCATTTAAGTATGGCAGCATATAAAACTACTCTCAAAACGAAACAGACCATGGTCCAGGTGCCCTTTAAATAGTACTCAGTACATTACAAGTGCGGGCCAGGCTCTGGAGCATCATTGTCGCCGTGTAGACCAGCGTGGCATCTACATGCAACTTTGTGACCATGGACGAGACCTTTACATGCAATGTGAGCGGCCATCCCAGGGCATGAACACACAGGCTGAGCTAAGTAGACACAATGTTCTATGAGGTTGCAGTGAGTGTCGTGAATCACCGGCAGTGCACTAATCAGGTCGACATCCAATTTAGTCTCGACCAGATTATCGAGCGAGGAGTGTATATGGCATGCCACTCGGCATGTGTGGCAAGGTGCCTTGGAGCCAGACCTAGTAATACAGATCAAGCAGTACGACCGGGAACGGCTCATTTGCCGTTTGCTTGAGTTTGGCGTGCTGAACTGTATGAGAGGATGCAAGACTCCGTGCAGCGTGCCGCTGCCAGCAGGACATTCCTCTGGTCGAACGGCATCAGAATCACCAAAGCATCGATGTTGGTCGTAAGCCTGGCGACCCGGAGTCAACAGGGCAGCATGGGCGTCGACAGGTAGGCACAGATTTGATGTTCACTTCTCAGAAGCCGTATACTGGTCGTCGGTGTGTCGTCGAATTTGTACCCCCTCCGGTTTCCGACAGCTTGCACCCCCGCCCCCGTCTTTACTCAAAGGAGGCAGAGCTCCGGTTCCCCTCTTGTCACGATCGTAGCAACCATGGTGCAAAGCAAGATCGAGACTCGTGGATCAACAAGAACACGAGGGAACTGGTGCAAGTGGGCTGTGGTGCTGGCCCCCAGCAAACTCGACCGTTCATGAGGTGGTTGTCCGTGTATTCCTTTGCGATTATGGACTCCACTACGCGAAGGATTCCGCAACACGGCAACTCGAATGTCAACCCGCCCAGCCTGGGCGCGCCCTTCCCATGACTCACTGCGTCAGTGGCTTCAGTTCTGACATATAAACAGAATGGAATGGCAACGCGCCGCGACAGAGCACGATCGTAGTCAGGCTTTATACAGCAGCGCATCATCATAATGGTCACAAATCACCTGGCGGGCAAGGTCGGTTCTCATGTCTCTCGAGACCTTGCGCAAGACTTGGAATCTATCCAACATATCCTCACCGACACCCGCCTATCCATTCCTGCCCTTCAATTGCTCTTAAAAACAGGCAACCAATGTTCGATACCATCATTAGACAAAGATGATGCCATTACCAACGCGGCCCTCGAGGAACTCGTTCAAATGGACCTCGTGACGGCAACGGACCCGCCGAAATTGACGCCACGGGGTGCGGCCTGCACGCAAGCCGCCCTGAATCACCACGCCGGCCCCGTAGACCGCGCAGCGCCATCACCGCCGGCCGTCCGCGTCCTCCCCGGCTACCGACCGGGCTTCCTCGCCCGCTGCCTCGACATGCACATGGCCTACTACCACGCCATCACAGGGTGGGGCCTCGCCTTCGAGACGGCCCTCGCGCGCGACTTTGGCGACATCCTCGCCCGCCTCGCCTCGAGCCCGACGTCGCAGGTCTGGTCGGCCCTGGGACCGGACGACGGCATCCTCGGCACGGTGCTCCTCGACGCGAGCGACGCCGACGTCGCGGGAGCCGCGCCACGCCGCCGGAGCGCGCAGCTGCGGGGCTTCATCGTCGACCCCGCGGCGCGGGGGCTGGGCGTCGGTCGGAAGATGCTCGACGCCGTCATGGCGCACGTCCGGGCGGCGGGCGTGGAGGAGGTGATGCTGCACACGATGGGCTCGCTCGAGGCGGCGGTGCATCTGTACCGCGGGGCCGGGTTCGTCGTGGAGAGCGTGTACGAGCAGGTCGTCTGGGAGGTGAGCCTTCCGCAGATGAGGCTCATCTGGCGGGCGGACGGCGCCGCCGCCGCCGCCGCCGCTGTGCAGGCCGCGGAGCTTGGTCCCTTGTGAGGCGGCGCAGTGAAGCGCCTCTTGGTATGTAACCATGCATCGTGGGTGCTTGACTGTGGAAAGGGGTGAGAGTGGTGATGCCTCGTCATGGGGATTTGTCGTTTTGCATCTGGCCAGTGATGCTGCTACGAGAATGAATGCGTGTGCACTTTTGGACAGGATAATGAGAGCGTGGAGGGACGAAGTGAGGTCAACGCAAGACCGAGAAACAGCCTCGTTGAGACGTTTTGATAGAGGGGAGATGAAACCAGGCGGCCGAATACTTCATGAATATATATCTCTTTCCATGGTGGCGAAGTCAAACCGCGCCCTTTTCATTTTGCATCTAAACAAGGCAAGCGATACTGGGCTTATCGACGACATGTGTGATAGCTCTGCCCGTACTGCCCCCCACTGCACAGCTGTCTCCTCATCCAGCTCTGTTTATAGCCCTTCAGGTCAGGTAGCCAAGGTCCTCTGCGTGGCTTCGTATTGGGTCTGCTCAGGCAACCTGCGATCACGGCGTACCGCTATCTTTTCTCCTTTTGCCGCTTAAAAGCTGCGCGACGTGCGTCTCCCGCTTTTTCCTTCTTCCTGCTTCTGACAGCAATCGACCTTCCAAGTCCATATCCTCGATGTTCAGCAGAGACTCCTCGCTATCGCCATGATGACACCTGGTGGTTGCGCACGAGACAAGACGAAGACAGTGCCGGAGAAGACGGACGCGCTGGCTCGTCGACCAAGCTACCATTGTCATGCTTCTCACACAGTATGTCGCCCACGGACGTAGGTCCAGCTTGCATCGTCAGCAAGACGCGCCTATGTTAGTCGAGAGAGGGAATTCAAAAGCGCGAGCACGTGCGTGAGAAGGAAGTGCAGACACGCCTGCTTCTCCCACGGTTGACTTGATGCGAGGCGTCGCCTGTCCATGTTTGTCCATATATCCTGGGGGGGCATCGCTTCATAGAGGCACATTCCATGTCTGCTTGCTCCGTTTCCTCTCGTCTCAGACAGCCACAGACGTCCAGACCCAGCGCAGAAGCGACACGCTCGTCCACGCGGCGACGGCGACAAGGGCAGCCAGGGCGGCGGCGACGTGGGTGCGGATCTCAAAGGCATCGGCCATTTCCATCTTGGCCAGCTCCTTCTGCTTCGTGCGGTAGTACCCGCCCGTCGTCTGGCCACGACCGCCTCCTGCCGCGCTCGGGGGTTTCCCCCCGTCATGCGCGTGAGCGGGCCGGTAGACCAGGTGGTGCAGCCACGCGGGCAGTCTGCTGTCGCTCTGACGGCCGCGGTAGCGCATGAGCGTGTAGCGCAGATCGACCCAGGCGAGGGAGACGAGGAAGGAGACGAAGATGACGGGCGTCATGATCAGCTGGGGGTCTTGTCAGTGTACATGTTCTTGATGGCTCGAGGATTACGGGCGCGCGTGCATTGCGCTGCGGATGAAGGAACTTCATCGAGGCTTCTCGCCGCCCGCTGATGGGATCGCACCTTGTAGAGGGTCATCTTGTCGACGGCGGCGGCATCGCTGCTGCCCCGCGTCGTGGTGACTTTTGTCGCCGTGACGGATGACGACATGGCAGCCGTGCGCTGGAAGCTGGAAGCTGGAAGCTGGAAGCTGGAAGGAAGCTCTGGCGGGGGTGGTGAGAGGATGAGGTCAGTGGTGGGGACCTTCCTGTACCTGGGCTGGCAGGTACCGTGATGCCGTAAGGGACGGAGATGGCTGGCGGGTGGAGGCGGCAGGTGCGATTGAATATGGTAAGAGTCTGGCGACGGGAGTCGAGATTCCAATACGGCGTAATCATGCTATATGACTGAAGACGTATCCGTCATTCTTCAGGACAAGCTATGCCTTCCTCGTACTTCACATCTCGATTGCATCAGCGAGCGACCAAGCCCGCATCGGGACCCTCGGTTTCGGGGGCTTCGGGGCCCAGTCGCACTGGCCATCCTGACGGCCGTCCCGCACCTCGCCTCTCCATTGGCGGATCCGCAGGGTGTCCCTAACGGAGGAGGGAAAAGCCCTGGAGCGACAATCGGGGAGCAATGACGGAGCACCAGTTCCAGTTCCACACGGCTAACCAGATTGTTCCTGGCATTCGTAGGTGGAGGGATCCAATGTACGCCTTTGTTTTGACTTTGCTGATTCCCCTGTTCGCTATCGCACTCGCAATTGTGTCCTGGAGCCTGCAACGTGGGGTGCGTCGGGTAGCAAGGCACGATGCAAAATCGTCGCTCGTTCTCACCCGAGGTCGCTGCAATTCGAGGACGATGCTGCTGAGCCACCAAGGTACGACGGCTGGGCCCATCGAATCAACCTAGCAGTTCAGTCCTGCCGATGCGTGCACCATGTCACATCAGCCCTACTGTGTCCGCGTCGCGACAATCTCGCATTTGATATCTATGCCTTTTTTATGTCCTTTCCCCCCTTCGGCTTACCCATGTGGCACCATCACCACATTGCGTGGGCCTAAGC